TGCTTTCCCTGTCTCTGTCTCTCTCCCTTTGAAGCAGACTGGACAGCTTCCTCAAGCTGGCGTTATCACTCCCTCTAACCACTCTTGGCAGGCAATCTAATTCCCCCTGAAAAGGTCACCGCCATTTTAACTGCCTTTCAATCACATTAAGCACGCTGCCGCTCGTGCTCAGAGCACTGCGCCTGCAGCTCTCCTGACTGAGGTGCGATCGATAAACTGACATCCCGTCCCCCCACCCGGTCTCCCCAATTGCCCCATCCGCCACTCGCCTCCTTCCCCTCTCCTGGACAAACCACCTTCCCAGAACGGACAGCGAGAGACCAAGTGACAAAAACCTCTCCTCAGATGTGAAGCAGCAGAAGGGAGCCGCTAACCTGGCATTTACTAATCTTTGTCCCATCTGCTAAGAAACAGAAGGGTGCAAGCGTCCCCCCCGCCTTCCCTAGACCTACAGAGGCAGTGACTTCACAGGACAGTTTGCTTAGGCACCGGTCCAGACACCTTTGAAGCTGCGTTACAAAGAACAAGCCTCCCTCAAGCTTCCCTCAATGCAATCATTACCGTTATCTCTCCCCCTGTGCTTCTTTTTTTTTTTTCAGTTACGAGTTATGTGTTCCACCCATCGATCCCTGTGTAAGACACTGTTTTAAGTCCTCTTGCCTTTTGACTGTGCTAAGCCGTTTAAGAGATGACAGCAGCTTCTATCAGTGCGAAGCTGATGCGATTCTTCTCAGATAAAGCACTTTTTTTTCCACTCTCCCCCTCCCTTTCCCTTCTTTCAAGTAAGAGACATACACACAAAAAGAGACACTGAATCTTTCAAAGAAAAAAAACCCTTTTGAACTTCCCTCAGGAATTCTTTAAAGGGATAACCTTACAGTGTAAACACTGAGGGTAACCTGCGTCCATTCTGGAGAGGGAACAGAAGAATTGCTACAAATATGTTGAGTGTTAAAAAAAAAAAAAGCCATCAGAGACAGATCCACTTGATGCTTTCACTTGAGAAGCCTTGTTGGCTTCCTAAACACAGAAACTCATTAGACAAAGATGGCATGAAATAATCCCCTGCAACAAAGAGCTTTGGAGAGGGATGATCCAGAGACGTAGGGATAGATGGTTACTGAAAGTTCAGGTATTTCAAGAGAAATTTGAGCCTTGCGACACTGTTCTGAGATACAGAAATATTTGATTATTACATCTGTATAGCTTTTTACTTTGAAGCACAAGCTTGATTTAAACAGTGCTTGGTATTTCATGTTGGTAACCACCTGCACCCATCCCACACAGAAGCAAAAGCTCTCCTGCTACAAACCCCTACTTCAACCAGGACCTCTGCTGAAACAAAGCGATTCCAAATCCTATATAATCTTAATTCACACCCTACATTCTTCCAGTTTTGGGTAAGCAAATTAAATGATAGCAAATGATGCTTTAAGAAGCCAGGAGGACAGCTAGAAATACTAAATAATTCCTGAATGAATGCCTTCACCAAACCAAACAGCTTAAGAAACAACATACTGATCCCAGCACTTCTCAGTTACCTCATATTCCTACCTGCTGCCTCAAGTATGCCAAGCTGTGGCGGACAAGGTGTGCTTTGGCTCTGCTGCGCTAGACCCAAATGGGGATTTGCAGCTGCAACACCAACACAGAAGACAAGAATTTCCACCTTCTAAGGCAGCCCCTCAGGTGAGAGGAGCAAGGTTTCCCTGCAACTGCTTTGAAAGCAAGAAAGCTTCATCCTAGGAACCATACAAGTGAGAGTTCCAGCCTGTGACTGCTCCCAAGTATTACACCACCTTCCAGAAAACCTGAGCAGGGCTGTTCATTTCCCTGACCTTTCTGTTTTCAAGAAGAAAAACCTCAAGATCTTCCAACCCTCCCCCACCTGACAACCTGGCAGGATCTTTCACATAATTAGCAAATAGTTTTCCTAATAGTTTTCCTCACCTTGAAAAGAATATGAACTCTGTCCATGAACCAAAAATGCTAAAAAGAAGCTGCCAGGACCTGTGTTAAGTTTGAGTCACTTCTGTAATGCTGCCCAATGATCTGATCAACTCATGCAATGCATGCTGGCCGCAGTGTCCTGCTCCCCCTTTGCTCAGCTGTGACATCTCCTCAAAGCAACACACCATTAAAACTGAAATTAATGAGACACACAGACATCTATTTTCCCCTCCGGTTTTATGTATTTCCCCATGTCATCTCTTCAGACACTGGTGACATCCCTGTAGCCTGGCAAAGGCTGTCTGGCATTATAAAAGGCCTTCGATTTCCACATCGCTGCTACTTCTCAGCAAAGGGAACAGAGCCAAACACAAAGCCTCGGGTGACCAGGGTTAACGAGGGCCTTGCCAACTCCAGACAAAGCAGTTTTAAGCACTGGAAAGCATCTCCAAAACGTTGTGCTGTGCTTCAGGGCTGTAAATTAAGAATTCTGTCCCTAAAACAAGGCAAGAGCCAACACTGGCAGAGAAAGAAAAAAGACAGTCACCTTAAGGTTTCCTGAGAGTGCACAAAGCAGGGCTGACTTACAGAGACCTCTGAATGTCAGCAGCCAGAGACAACAAGAGAACCACAAAAGGGTGCATAAAAAAGTGTAACTCTCAAAGTAAAATACAATCAGCTATGGGAGATCATTCCAGCTTTGCTTTGGTTTCCCAAATTTTACAGAAACTTCTTGTGCAGAGCAGGTAGGTACCCTGCAGGTATTAACTGGTCATCCCAAAATACTAGGTAGAAAGTTGGTGGCAAAAGAACTTCCCCTGTTTGTGGAAGGAGACACCTCTCTAGAGGAACATGGCAGCTGTTGAATCCAGCTGCTAACAGAGGCATCCGCCAGAGAAGGAAGGGCAGGGAGAAACATATGCGCTAGGGACCTGCCACCCGCTCCGGTGACGTCATCTCTTCAGCAGCAGCTCTGCCACCAAAAGCTGCAGAGAGGATGCTCCTCACTACTAATGCTACAGGGAGGTTCCTGTGCTTGCGAGCTAACCTACAGACACCTTTCATCCAGCACCAGAATGCGAAGGAGTCTAACCCAAAAGCCTTTCCATCAGGGTAATTATGGAGAGTTTTAGAAATGCATCTAGTTGTGCTCTACTCTCACCCCAGTCTTCTGATCCTTTGCTGGATCTGTTCATGTAACTAAACACTCCTGAAGGTGTCATGAAGGTCTCAAAAAGGAAAGAAGAAACGGACCCCATACTTCCTAATGGAAGCAAGACTATTTCTAAGTGTGAAGTACCTGTCCATGTGTGTGCAGCCATCTAGCAGAGGTTACAGCCCTGTTGTTAGAATCTGTCTAACCTCTGGTGGAAGAAAGCAGTTGATCTATGTAACTCAAACACATTCAAGAATTCCTTAAAATAAGGATTAAAACGCAATAAAGAGCAAGTACTTCACATTTACACAGCCTAATCACATCAGTTACACACATTTTGTCCACCTGAAACCTCATTTGGCAAAACGTCTCCACATGACTAAAGCAGTATGAAAGGTTCTGACCACACTTCAGAGAGTTAACTTAAAACCAACTGGGAATGTTAACCAGGTGAAGACAGCACAATGTCCACACCAAAGGAAGCAGAAGATTGTGCTCTCCTCAAACTCAGGTGTTCAGTGGGGGTGAAGGAAGAAACTATACATACACAAAAGAGGGCAGAAATTAATTGAGTGGCTTTTTCTCTTATCAGGAGTAGCAGTGACAACGATAGAGGCACACAGACTGCCCTGCTATGGATTGTAGTAACCGTACTACATAAGCATAGTCTAAAGCCCTGCATGGTCTCATCAAACCTCTACCTGGAATCGTGTACAGACTCAACTCTCCATGCAGGCACAAAAAAGTGAAGGTAGGTAAGGTTACAGACACAGGAAGCGACAGCATGAGCTTCACTGAGTAGCCTTTAAAACCCAAAGAAGCTGCACCTTCACCCCTGTGCTCCTGATCATCTGCTCTGCTACAACCCAGCTACAATTTAATTTCAGAGGAAGGCAAGAGCAGATCAGGAGTGCCAGGCTGTCAGTGAGCACACGGCTGGCTTTAAAGTCCAACTCCCTTATGTAGTAGCCTTTCCCCTTGAGATATTTTAAATTAAAATCCAAGCTGATACAGGAAGATATCACATCCCATCCTCTTTACTGAACGGAGGGAGCCAGCATTCCTCTTCTCATTAGGCATGCACTACGTGGATTGCCTGTGAGAGACTCTCCTTAGTGCCAGAGGTTCATGCCAACAAACAGTTTAGTAAATCCTCCTCTTCGAGGCCAAAGGGCTGAGTGTAAGAAAGGGGCCAGGTTTCTAGCTAAAATTACATTCACCAATAAAGCTCATGAGAGGTCAAATTTTGCCATAACTCACTCTCTCCTCAGTAACTGATTTCCCCGTCACTGGGGAAGGAGCAAAAGAAGGAGGAAAAATAAAATGTGTTTGTCTGGGAGCCCTAAGGGCCTGCAGTGCTGGAGGTGCAGAGCAGGTTCCTGGATTCTCATTTATCAACCTTAAAAGGGATGGAGTGATAAATGCACAACCGGCCCTTTAATATTTTATGCAGGTGCTAAAGCGACTTAGCTGTCACCTTCAATACATCACCAGAGGCTGATACACCAGCTTTCGTCACTCCAGGCTGGGAATTTTTACAATTTCATTTCTATTTCCCTCTCTTCACATATTTCCACGTATTTCTTACTATGTGTAACATATAAAAAGCTATTTTCCCCAAATGATCTCCCCATTCTGCCCATTCCTACTCATTCCCTCCTTAGCCACATTTCTCAAGCAAGAAATAACACCATGCTTTTGTTCAAGATTTGCGCAAATTTTGACTCTCATCATTCAAGAGAGTCAGAAAACTGAAATCACTTTACATTCAGGCAAAGACTGAAGGTCCTGCCCCTTGTGAAAGGCAAATCTACAGGTCCCTCCCTTTAAAGATACACAATGATCAACTTCCACAGCAGAATGATTTACAAGGGCCCCCAAAACACTGGCGCACCTCGAAATCCTCCCTCGAGGAGAGTAGTAGCCCGTATCCTCTTCTGCCCACACCATTCGTACTCTTCAAAGCGGTTGCCGTTCTCGTTCTCGATGTCCACAGAGTCATCCTCAGTCATGCATGAACCTTCTCTCTGCACAGGGTAAAGCAGGGGCAGAGCGTTGAGGTGCATGAAATAGCTTTTTGGGGTTAACAACTCGGGGTGGGATGGAGAAGAAAAGCTGGACTGTTCCCAGGACAGCTAAGTATAGAGCAGACAGCAGCATCTACTCCCACCCCCATTCTCAGTGATCTAAATCTAGCAGTAAATGGATGCTGGAAGAACTATACAAACTTAAGATCAAAAACAAGTTGCAAGGTTCATCATTTTTACACATGGAAATTTAAGCTCTGGTTCCTATAATGCTGGTGCATTTCAACATGCATTCCCCTACCTTGCATGCACAATTCCCCTACCACATAAACCACAGATTCCTTTGACCCCCAGTGGGAATCTTCTCTAGAGCATATTTTTTGGGGCACACTGATCAAAAGACACCGCTCTTTACACCATGCACCTCTTGAGGCAACAAGAATGAATTTGTTATTATCTCTGTTGTGGGCTTTTCCTGAGAAACAAGCACAGAAAGCCCTATGACAACTCCCTCTCTCCCTCCCTAGGAGGGAAGAGAATTCCTCCTTCCTCCTTGCTGTCTTTGGGATGAACAGCAAGGGAATAGTTCTGCTCAAATGCACTTCCTGGAGTAAGATGGTCATACAACATTTACAAATGCCAGTCTGTTACAAAAGAACCAAAAAAAAAAAATTCTAATGTTGTCAAAGGCAGAGATCAGAAAGAACTCTTCTTGCTGGGCTATATAGGAAGCATGAAGTCCTACAAAGGATTCACAGACTTCAGTAACTCTACTTTTACAGTCCACAACTTAGAATTCAGTAACAGCAAAAGGGTGCATGAAGTAAAAAAGTTATACTACAACATAGGAAAAAAAATCCAGAAGAATCCATCTTCCAAGACAAAGAGAAGTGACTACAGATCTTAGGGAGACAGTTAGCATTGCCTGCAAGCTCAGCAATGTTAGTTTTCGCCCCATGTTAGGTCAACTGCAGACAAAGCTGGAAGTAGGGAGAAGGGAATGGCAGCTGGCGATCCTGCTGCGCCTCTACCTTTGCAAGGCATTGTTCCACATGCCTACTCATCTCCTCCTCGGATCCTGACAGAGGTCGGCTGCAGAGGGGACATACCTGCCCTTCGTCTTGCTTCCTCCGTTTCATTTTTCCAATCCGAGCTGCATGGAGAAACCAGGAAAAGAAAAGAAAAGAAAAAAAAAAAAGAAGGAAGACACGTCAAGTTTGTAGATCCACTCTTCTCTCTATTTGCTCAGCTTCAAATAATAAGCCCCTGGCAGAAATGGTAAGATTTCACACCAGAAAACTCTGCTGCAACTCCTTTTCTGACCTCTGTAAACAGTACAGAGACTGTTACTTAGCACTTTCCAGATTAAATCTGTAACTTGTGGCTAAGTACAGCCTGACTTCAGAAACGCAGCTACTCACAATTTAATAACTTGGAGAGTGAATATCTGCTACACATCCCCGGGTAAGTTCATCAAATGGTTAAATACTTTCTCTTGGAAGCCTGAAATTGTTTTCAAAGTTATATGATCAAGCCACTGAATCCTGTTCTGGATTTTGCCTTCTAAGTCCAAGACCATCCACTAACACATCTATTCCCTATATAGAAACTTGCTTAGGCCGTAGAAGGATGATGTAGCACCTGAAATGCCTTGGACAAGGTATATAACAGTCACTTCCAGGACCACAGAGTCTCCTGTACACCTTGAATAATTCCTTCCCAGAACATCACAAACAAGTCAGAGCAGCATCTTAGTAGCTTAGGTAATATTTATGGAGAGGAAAGATCTTTTCACCTATGCTAGACAGCTTCTGGCACTTTCTGTTATTTTTATTTCACTATTTTCATGTAGAGGAAAACTGGGGGCTATACTGCCTTCTTGAGGGCACATTCCAGGAAACAAATGTGTTAGGAATCACGATGATTAGAAAAAGCAGCCAAGGTAGCCTGTTGCTTAATCCAATCTCTGGCTAATTTGAGCCATCGTTTAATGTGATCAAAACATCTGGAACCAAATCATTTGCATTAAAAAAAACTTCTGTCCTTTATTATGATGGCTTTAGGCAGGTATTACTGAATAACTCAATCACTGGCTGCAGGAAAGTTGCTGTTTAATTAATAAGGAAGGTCAAAATTCTGAATGAGAGACAAGGAAAAGCCCAAAGAAAGCCCACACGGTAATGAGAGATGACACCACCAAAAAGCTGCATTAGCCAGAAATCGTTACTGACATTGTGAGCACTGCAGCACGCTCTGAAAGCCTTCATGCCTGAATACTGTGGGATCAACAGTTCCCTGCAGCCGAGTCAGAGAAAGCTGCTGGAATGCCAGGAAGAGGACCACCAGGGTACAGGAAAGTTTGGTGTCAATTGTTTTCTAAAGTACATCAGTTTAGTGTGCACACATCACCAGGTAAATTATAACCAACACAGACCTGAAAGGCCTCTTTCAAGGCTTTCTTGTTGGTTTCTCTGGACTCAGGACTCTCTGAGTTAGGATATACTTTCCCACAATCCAGAATTGGGAATATTCACCATCCCCTACACTCTGCGATGCTCCAGGATTAAGAATGCTTCAAATTATTCCCTGGGCATTACTGTTCCTCACTGAACAAGACGGAATTGTAGGAAAACTCCCTCCAAAACAAATCTTCCCTCCTGGCATCATGAAAATTCTTCCCAGAATAAGAGACAGCAACTGGAGACCACGACAAGAGTGTTTTTGAGACCTGGCACTTTCAACAAGAGAGACTGTCAAGTAAATGCACACCATTTTCATCAGTCATCCAAATTTAATTTGCTGAAGCTCCACAACCCTCTCTTGTGTTGGGTATACCACACCGACAGCTCCACAGCCCTCCTGCCTCTCCACACATTTCAGGTACTTCAGTATTCCTAGTAGGATATTTTAATAGTTTCCCTTCTATTTTGTCTGCTTAAATCTATTATTTTACCTATACTGTCAGCTTCTGCTCCAGAAGATAAACCATTTGACTTCCAGTCAATAGAGAAGCAAACATCATGAAGCGTTATTGCTAATTTCATTGTGCCCAGATGCATTATGTTCCACTTTTAAATAAAACAGTGACCTCCAACATGTCTTCTGTCTTTCCTCTCCCCTTCCTGAACCCCAAAACACTATCCCCTCCTCCCCCCTGACCATCATCCAGCCCTATTACCGGAAGAAGTCAGAGTTAAGCCATGCTCTTTCTGGTTTGTACTTCAGCATATGAGACACTTCTAAAGTTCTGGTTTAGTGAATGCCTGTATCCTCCAGTACAGCTCTTTCGCATAAGTTTAGGATGCTCTTTCCTTGCCTCGCTAGCTCTGCAGACCCAGCACAAAATAGAAGAGGGGGCTGGATTTGAGCATTCTCCAGCGAACACCTATCTGACCAGAGAAAAAACACAGGAACAAAAGCCTTCTCTATCCTGATCACAGACACATCTCTCTCTCACATCATCCTGTTTTTAAACAGGGAAATGTAGGGGAGGAACAGTTTAATTATTCTGGTACGACTCCCTGTGGCCAATCAATTCAGCTAAGTCAGTCTGCCCGGCAAGTTTATTGGTATTTTTAACTTTTTTTACTGCTATTCTCCAGTCCATGCACTGTAACAGTGATAAAACGAAGACAACTTCATTTAGGACCTGCACTGATAAATTCTTGGGACCATCTTGCCAGAACAAGCACCTGATCTACTGTTGAAATGTTAGCACAGACCTGGGAACAAACCTCTCTCTGCTCCAGCTCCGCGCAAGACTCAGCAGACAGCCCCTATCTGAGCTCATTTAGCTCTGCCGAGAAGCAGCCCTTTACATTTTAGTGCCACAAGTGAAAAAGCCACTGGAAGAAAGAGGTGTTGAAAACAAATCCCCCTGCCATTTTCATTCTGTGGTCATTAGCAGTGGCAGCATTGCACCCACAGAGGCCCAGCGTGCCCCTGGTGACAGCAGAAGCCGAAAGGGAACGCTGCAGCCTAGAAAGCGCATCCCGAGCAGCGCCGTCCCTACCCGACACGCAGCCCGGCTATCACTTCCAATCAGCGCAGAAGGGACCGAGCAGCCCCAAAGGCAGGGGGTGATTGTGGCGCTGTCCCGAAGGGGAGCAGCTCAAAAGAACACGCAAGTGAGACCACAGGATTCTTAATTAGTGTTGATAGATGCGATCATTTCTAATTAGCTCACTAATCCCTCTCCCCTTCGTTCCTGTCACAGGACCATGGGAGGGGAGGCGGGGGGAAGCCATTCCGTCTCGTAATTCAGGAAGATAAAAAAGCAGCCGGTGGAGGACTGGATGGATGCAAGAAGAGGACGGAGCTGAGGAAAGGAGATTTTCTCACCAGGCTGACCCATTCTTATCTTTGGCTGAACAAAGACTCTGTAGTTATTATTCCAGCCTTCTGTCAGGAGGTGAAGGAGTTCACCGATTTTTATTAGCATTAATAATTATTATTAGGCCATCAGAGGGTTTCCACCACCTTTGAGGCCTCACTTTTAACAGCTGTACATTACCCTACGCACCGCTCCTGCTGCATGTGCATGTTCTCCCTCAGGTTACACTAAACCGTAGGGCACCCAGGGAGTTTAAGTGGCCACAGCGTACGAATGAGAAAGTAGCACACGGAGGTGAGCAAGAACTGGGACCCTCTGCGAGGGCCAGGGTCCAGTTACGGTCTCTGACTGAACTCAGGAGTTGTGCTGGCTGAGGGAGCAGCTCTTCCTTTCCTAATACAGGGTCTTTTGGGACTACGTAAGGGATGAAGCTGCTTGCACTAGAGGAGCTGCCAAACTGCACTTGACAAAGTGCCCCTCTACTGCTGCGGGCACACCGAGCCCTGCCTTCCCACCGGTGCGGAGAGAAGGAGCCAGCACACCGCCATTCACAGACACTGCTGCCTTATGGGCAGAAAAGACAGAGGATTTTTTGTGACAACAGGCTCTGCCCATCAAGGCTAAACCTTATTAATGCCTAAAGATCATGTTATTCTCTAGCCTAGCAAAACTTCCTGAGAGAAAAGCTAATGGGTTTTAGTTTTCACTGGTACTCCCCTCCCCAAGCAAAAATTCACCTTCAGGACAAGGCACTAATTACCTCAGAAATGCTCTTACATAGCATCTAGCAGTGGACACTATACAAACCTCTATTGCAGCATCAAAGGAGATGATTAAGTTACTAGCAATATCTCTTATGATTCCCTCCACCAGTTTGAGTGGTCCCCCGAGTCCCATGCAGACATCATTAGCAGCTCCTGCAATGGCAGGCCAATCAAATTAAGTGGAAACATTTTTGTCTCCTTTCCAGTGAAAATCATCTAGCTCTATTCCTCCCCCAGCCATCAGCTACAAAAACACACACCATGCTGGTGGTGGTTCAACAGCAAACTGCACGGTGGCCACATCTATGGAGGTCTGCGCCAGCTTCTCAGGCAGGTGCCAAAGGAGCTTTGTAAGGACCTATTTTACAACTCTTCTGAGAATGCCAACTTTACCTTTCATTCAAATTTAGAGGTATTTGCAATCATTCAATTACCTGCTCTCTGCAAATCTATGAGAGGAGTCTTGAGGAGCAGTTAGACCTATCACAGATGACTTCTGTGTCTGATCCAAGGGAACAAAGGCAGCAATGGCAGAGCACAAAAAGCCATCTCAAGAACAAGTGAAAGCAAGAAAACACATGGCCAAGAATGGATCTGTTTCAGACCTTATGTACAATTTGCTGCTCATCTACCTGAGAGAGAACATTAAGGGCCAAATTCACAGAAGGGTCTCAGTGGGGCTTTCACATTTACATGGCCAAACTTCCACACAGATGATTTTCAGCAACCTTCAATCTGATGCTATTCTCTGAGCCTGGCACATACTTAACCTGCTGAATCCATGTTCTGATACGCTAACCCATAACTTCATGCCCCCAATTCTGAATGACTACCTAACCTGCTCTGCACCGCTCAACTCCATAAGCGCCAATTTACAGTTTCCAGTTTGGCAACACTGGAAATAAGACAAATGAAAGAAATGCTGCCTTTATCACATGGGTTCATCAGGAATCAGCACCTCATACTTGTGGGTTCACAAGGACACAATTTCTGCGCAGTGAGTTTAGTCCAGGTGAGAGGCACGGGATAAACTCACTGAGGCCAACAGGG